CATGGAGGGGGGGATGGGATGGGGGGGGTGCGGTTGATGGAGGTAGAGGTGGGAAGGAAGGGTGCCGAACCAAGAGAATTTGCACCCGGCTGTGTTGGTAAGGGAGGTGCTTTGAAATGACCTGGAGAACAGCGTGCTAGACAAACCCCAAACTGTGGGCACAGGGGTAGCTGGTCCCAGTTGGTGGCAGCACTTGGCCAAAGCAGTCAGAGCTGAGGGGCGGGTGGTGAAGTGCAGCCGCAGGCTGGGTCACCACTGGACAGTGCCAATGCCTAGGGGCTCAGAGGGGCTCCCCATAGCCCCCGTGCCAAAACCAGCCTCTTCCCAGTGGTCGAGCATACACTGGAACGGAGTTCTGATTTTTGAGCTACCCCCGCCCATAGTGAAACTAATGAAAACAATTAGTGCCGCCAAGGGAAAAAGAATGAGAAAGATTCCTGATGTCTTCCAGAAGGAAGCAAAGGCCGAGTCTCGTCGTCCCGTGATGATGGGAAAACAGATTAGGAGACAGGTGGCATAAGACGGAGAAGGAATGGAAAAGAGTCTCGGGTGAAGAATATAGTCAGAGGCTGCCTCGGAAGACTAGGTCCGTGATCTTTGGAGAGAGCTGATTGCCAAAGAGAACGGGACAGGACTCAATCTAGAAAGATCCTCTGCGATATCGGAGACAAGAGAAACGAAACTGTAACACAGGAGAACTAATATATGTAGACTAAGTGAAATAAGAGAAACTGAACCAATTTATAAATTCTATGTATTCCTTGAACCCAGATCTTTCTGTGCACAGTGTCGGAGACAAAGGAGAGGGGAGGCCCCCAAAGGGACCCTCTCAGATGTCCGTCTGTCCGCTGCCTCGCGGCAATAAGTTTGGCCTTGACTAAGGTGCACCCATATAAACCCCGGGCCTGGTCGGCCAAAGCTGAGTCATCGTTGTTGTTGCGGCCGACTACAGAGGTGGATTGGGGCCCATTCAGATCCCGTAGCGAAAGCTGTGGGACTACAGACACATTCACTCGACATTCATTCAGAGGTTATGACATTCCCACCCAACAAAACCTGACTGGGACCTCTATAGGTCTGGGGAGGTGATGGGGAGGTGATCAATCTCCCCCTTGAGCAGATTTTCAGAACCAGGTAAATCCCTCCATCGGCGTCCTGACCCAAGGAGGGACCCCACACAATCGGATCAGCCATGTTTGGCCCCAGTTGGCAAGAACTCAGAGACTAGTCTAACCAGGAAATAATTTAAAATTATTCCTTACCCCCAGAGGCGTCCTGAGGGACTCCAAACAGATAGATGGCTATAGGGCATCAGCTTTTGACCTGCAGGGGAAAAGTCCTCGTCTCGGGGCCCTGGAACTTCTTCAGGGGGAAACCCTCCCCTCCTCAAAGAGGAGGTCCCTAGTGGGCCAGTTGCAGAGGCCCGGCAGCATGGAGAAATTTTAGAATTAGATCTCACTGGGGCCTCCAGATGTTATACACATCTTATGCGATACTACAGAGACCGAATTGACCATTTCGAGATTTATTAGCAGGTAACTGCAAGCGGGCTGCTGCCCTAAACAAGCTTGCAGCCCCGAAGTCTTTGCAGGGAGAGTATAAAGGCAAAAACCACATTCTATTTGGCTAAGGGGGGCAGGTGGGGGACTAGCAAAGCAGCACACAGACGCTAAGCGCTAATTAACCTTCTTCGGTTAGCTATTCCCTGGAATTTTGTGGGCGGAAATCTTTTACAAAGAGCCAGGGGAGGGGAAGAGGTCATTGTTTTCTACCAAATTTTGTTGCTGTTGCTTATCTTCAAAGTAGTGATTGTAAGGGTAGAAAATGGGAGTGCTATACTTTAGTTTCAGTGACACCATTTCCCTGTGGTTTTTGCTCTAAGCGTTCTTGCACATGTTGAGTTCCTGACACAATCATTCCCTAAGGTTGGGTCTTCAAAGTTTGTCTCAGTCCAGACACTAGTCTCAACCATTAGCTATTTTAAAAGGCACAATAGTAGACAGACCATAGTCTTTCAGGGTGGGTTGCACCTAGGCAGGGAGAAGCCTAAGGCTATTTGTAGGTGAGCAGGTGGGACGTGATGCTTGGGTAGAAGCGTGTGGCTGCTGCCCAGGTGCACATCCACGAATGGAATCAGTGGTGTAGAGTTTGACCGTTTAATTTTGCTCAAAAGTGTAAGATACTGTTTCCTAAAGTGGGTGCCCCCATGGTGGGTCCAATGTGGGGTGATTTCTGGAGTAGCAATAGCTGAGACTTAAGATGTGGCTTCCTCTAAGAATTTGTGCTTAGGTAAATAGAGGACCTTCTAAGATGTTTAAAAAAACTGGCTTCAAATGTGCAGTGGATTTAGATCCAGGGTGGGGAACCTTTTTTCTGCCAAGGGCTGTTTGGATATTTATAACATCATTTGTGGGCCATACAAAATTATTAACTTAAAAATTAGCCTGCTATATTTGGTCATTCAGTTAGCTCACCCCTAATGTGGTGACTGGAACTGCTTCTCTTTGGTGAAGCCTTGGCAGGGCCAGACCATGATTTCATTTCATATGTCCCCCACCCGATTTAGAGGAAGCTCCAGCCATGGGTTGGAGGGCTCCATTAACCATTTGTATGAATATTGTCCTTCATCTAAGTAAAATTAAGTCAGCAAGGTCCCTGCTTAGGCACTGAGTGTAGGAAGGTGGGCCTTTCTGGGGCCTGTGCTCACCTGTCTCTCCTCAGAGGTGCGGAACTACATCTGTGACGAGTGTGGACAGACCTTCAAGCAGCGGAAACACCTCCTCGTCCACCAGATGCGGCACTCGGGAGCCAAGCCTCTGCAGTAAGTGTGCGCCAGTGCCTCCTTGTGCCACACTGGCACCCAAATCCTTGCTCACTTCCCTTTGTCCCCCAGGTGTGAAGTCTGTGGGTTCCAGTGCCGGCAGCGGGCATCCCTCAAGTACCACATGACCAAACACAAGGCTGAAACTGAACTGGATTTTGCCTGTGACCAGTGTGGCCGGCGGTTTGAGAAGGCTCACAACCTCAATGTGCACATGTCGATGGTCCACCCTCTGACGCAGACCCAGGACAAGGCCCTGCCCCTGGAGCCACCACCACCCAGGACCACGGAGGGTCAGGCTGTGAAGCCCGAGCCCACCTGAAGGTGCTCCAGCACCTGAACTCAGCAGGTGGTAGATGGGGTTGAAGGATGACTTTCATAGTTCCTCACACGAGACCTTGAAGGCACAGCTTTGCTCACTCTAGAAAGCCCCCATGCTAAACCCCACCCCTTTGCTGGAAGGTGGGTGGCTCGGTGCAGGGACCAGGTAGCCTTTCTGTGTCCACTCTGGGACCAGCATTTTACTTTCCTATGAACACTGACTTGGGGCCAGATACAAACTTTAAATAATTGATTCCTGTTCCCTACTAAAGCAAAAGGAGATTTGTATTCCACTTTTTAGTGCAACAGGAGCTCCATGTCATGCTCGTAATAAATTATTTACAAAGGAGTGGTGCATGTGGGGTTGCAGTCAGAAGAGGTGGGGCTCCTGGGAGAAGCCATTGTCCTGCATAGCCTGCTGCCTGCTCAGGAGGGCGGCACTCATTTCTGGGTCACTGTCTCCACGAGTAGCCAGCAGCTGTAAGAAAACACCATGCTCAGGGTAGCACAGACCCAAACCAAGGACACAGGGAGGGAAACTGGTGACCACAGCCGACCAGAAAGTGACCAAGTGTGGACTTCCGCATCCCTCACGCTTACAGTGATTTGAATTTTAAAACAAGCACCAAGGCGGGGGAACCCACCGAGGTGAACATCTGGGTGTTACCTCTGCCATGTTTGAGAAGCTCTTTCTGGGGCACCGAGGTATTGATTGTAGCAGGAAAAGACGAGCTTTTGTTATCAGGCCAACAGGGCCGCCCTAGAGAGGACAGGCAGAGCCACAGTCAGGGTGCCCACACGTGTGCCAGAAAGGGCCATCACCAGAGAGAGCTTGCCATGTGGGCCTGTAGGATGTGCCATCTGCCTGGACACAGCCCACCCTTGCACCTGCCTGGCCCTGGAGCTCCTGGCTCCTGCCGCCTGCAGTCAAGAGTACACCTGTCTCCCCGGCTACAAAGAGGCAAAGCAGCTTCAGGTACATGTCCACAGCAACATGCAGGAAGGCGTCATCCTGGATGAGGGTGTCTTCATCAAAGTAGGAGAGGAGGCTGAAGGTAAGACTACATGTCAGTTAACACCAAGACCTCCCAGAGATAAATGCCGTCAGCACAGGAAGTTACGGACGGGCCACCTCTCCCATCTGGAGGGAGACCCACAGTGGTCAGGGAAGGCCCCATGCGTGTGAGCTCCTTTTGAGAGGGACAGCACTGTGGCCTGACCAGAACAGAGGGGAGTTACCTGTAGAAGGCGACTGGCAGCAGCTTGATATGCTGTTCCGGGGCCAGGTGGAGGAGGACGTGTCCCAGGCCGGCATCTGCAACCCAAAGGGCTCAGTCAGCCCTGGATGTCTCCCTCCAGGAGACCAGTGTCTTCAGAGGACTATGTGTACCTCTGGGGGCCAGGCAGGTGGACCCCCCACATGACAGCCCACTGCCACTTTGGGGTCCTTAGTGTTCCACTAAATTCTTTTCCTTAAACAAGCTTATACTATACTGCTTTTGTCCTGATGAAAATTTAGGGGTTTATGTGCTTTGCAAGAAGATAACCATTTGAAAGTTGCTTCTGAAGAGACTCAAATGTCAGAGGTCACAGTCTGACCCTACTGGGTCAACTGCACTCCTAGCTGATGGCGGGTGACTAGGAGACACAGGCCACCCACCCATTCACTATGAGGTCTCAGTGGATTTCTTACCTGTCTCTGTCAACTGAAAGAGTGGCAGCCAGGACACTTTCCTCTTCTCCAAACACCTCAAGATCTCGGCACAAATGTCCAAAGCCCTCAGGGAGTCGACAGCCTGTGACCCACAGAAGCAGGAGAATTACTCAGGTGGCAGTGGCTATACAGCTGACGTTTCTTGCTGGGTCTAGAGCTGGGCATGTGGGGAAGTGGGACCACCCTCTTCACAGAAGGGAGACTTTCCCTGTTACAGAGTGTCACCCAGCGACCTCTGATGGAAGCTCAACCAGGAGGTGGCGGCCAGAGACTGGGCACCCAAGTATTGAAGTAAAACATCAAAACAAAGGCCCATGGCTGAGGGGTTTCCACTTCAGTGAGCACAGGACTCTCCTGAGAAACCTGGGGAAGGTTCCAGAACCGCCCCTCCAACCTGACTCAATAGGGCTGGGGGCACCTGGGGACCTGCAGTTTCAAGCACCCTGGGGAAGAGCCTCCTTAGCTGATGAGCAATCACGTACGTGTGGGGTCAGATGTGACGACAGCAAGCCCAGCAGGGAAAAGAAAAACAGGACAACCAGAAGCTGCAAATACAAAAAGGGACACTTGCAATGTGAAGTCACCCATGCTGTTCCTGCAGAGCAGTTCTAAGTGGCGCACACACATTCCTCACCACCATTTACTGGTCCAGGGCACAAGCTCCTCCTCTTTGTGGGTCTTCTCAGAAAGAAAAATTTTGAATCACTTATAAACAGAGAAGTTAATTGCATTAAATTATTACTGACTAGGTCATCTTTATGTTTGTCTTTAAACCAGGCATTGCCAGGGGTCTCCCTGGGGTAGGAGTGTTCCTGCCACAGATACCTCACCTGTGCAGTGAGCTACCAGCTCAGCCTTGCTTCCCCCGGCTTCCTGTCCAGAAGTGTTTGTAAAACCCTAGAGGTAACCCACAGGCTCCATCCTGCCTCTCCCAACCCTGACCCCAGGGGAGCACTCAGGCTTGGTGGGGTCTCTCTGAACCCTATCCCTTTGATACACCAGGCCTGAAGGCTTTGGAGCCACTCAAATCCCTTCCAACAGAGCAACCTAAAAGTAATCATGGAATAATCTTATTTGTAGGTTTTTTTACTTTACATTGTAATTACCAAAATTACCTTGGCTCAGTAATTGACTTAGTTTCCAAGCAGGTGGGCACATGCTGAGCTGACAGATGGACCCTGGCTCTCCGCTAACTTAAGTGAGTGGGCGCTCTGGGTATAGACAGGTCCCAGGGCTCCCAGTTGGGATGTTTCAAGGCACCAGCTTGGAATGTAGAGTACCTTCCCTCTACCCATGCCATCTCTTGGCAGTGCCTGACTGTGATGCACGTGAACCAAGGCTGTAGGAGCAGACACAAGGTTCCACTGGACAATGGAACCTGCCCTGAATTGTAGTGTGGGTAAGAAAAAGATAAGTGAAAGAACTTCAAAAGTGAAAAAAGGGCCCGGCCGGGCATGGCTCAGCGGTTGAGCATCGACCTAGGATCCAGGCGATCAGGGTTCGAATGCCGGTCAGGGGCACATGCCCGGGTTTCGGGCTCAGTCCCGTCGGGGGCATGCAGGAGGCAGCCAATCAATGACTCATCATTGATGTTTCGATCTCTCTCTCTCCCTCTCATTTCCTCTCTCTGAAATCAATAAAGATATATATAAAAAAAAAAAAGTGAAAAGTATTCTTTTTACTAATAAACCTGAGAGTCAAAGTCTTATTAAAGTGTCAGAATCTGCAAACTTCCTGTCTGTGCTTGGGAAAGCTCAATTCATTAGGCAAGCTCACGAACACCACTGACCGGAACACTGACAACGAGCCACTGGGGAACGAAAGGTAAGAGAAGAGCTGTCCTTGCCTCCTCCCCAGGGCAGTGCAGAGCTGTCCTTGCCTCCTCCCCAGGGCAGTGCAGCCTCTCCAGGCTTCTCCTCAGGCTCCCTTTCCCAGCTTGTTGAATTGCAAAGTACAGTGCCGCGGCCGAGACCCAGGCCGGGCTTGGGGCGGGGGACACTGTGTCGGGGGACAGGAGGCTGGAAAAGAGACATACATGTGTCATCACAAAAGCCTGGCAAACCAAGTCACCACTGAAAACGTAAGGTCCTTGTTCCCAAAACTATTACAGTGCGGAGCCTGCCTTCCTGAGACGAGCACCGAGGGGCTCAGAGTTGACAGAAACGGAGTATGCAGAGCCCAAGCCTGTGACAGGCTTTTCCCTGGTTTAGGGTCCAGTTTCTCGTTTCAGCATGCCTGTGCCCTGGACACGAGGAGCAGTAGGACCTGACCAGGGCACCTGCCCCCAGTTGCCTGACCTCTGAAAGGAGGTCGTGGGACACTGAGGCTCATGGCCCACAGTCTGCCAGACTGCTCTGAGTGCAGTGCTGCTCAGAAAGGTTCTGCAGCAGGTTAAAAACAGGCTGGCAATTAATGGGATATAATTCACTGATTTAAGAAACTTTAATGATCTGCTCTGTAGAATTTGGCGGTGTGGAGGATTTGCTTTCCGTTTTCTAAGCAATTTCAAGCACTTGGCCCTGCAGGGAGATACACATGCACATCAGGGTTAAAAACTCATCACAGAGATGTCAGGCGGCTGGATGGGGGCTAGTGATTCCTTCTGATGACCTCACAGCACCCCCACATCCAACAGGATACTGAAAACCATCCGCCCAGCAGCCCCAGGAAGGTGAGTTGACCAGATTGCTGGCCAAGGCCCAGAAACCTAAGCAGGCTTTAATTGATCACTTGGGCTGAAATCAGTCTTTCCCAAAACGTTCTGGAACTTCTCCCTCAGAGACCTGTCAGGTAAGTTCTGCTGCTTCCCTTTCACACGGGTCCTGCAGAGCCTGCCCATATGGCACCCCTCAAGCACCTCAAGGCATCTTATAGAGATAACACAGAGCAGGTCCTAAAAAACACCCACACTTTCTCCCTATGCCCCACTGCCAGCATCTACCTGCTGGCAAACTGCCAGGCCTCCCGCAGCCTCTGCAGCTCCTGGGGCAGTGGGCTCTGGAAGCACTTCCACCGACAGTGAAGCTCGGGCTCCAGGCGCGGCCACCACAACTGCCGGAGAGAGATCACAAGTAAACAGATCAGGGCAACTGTTTTGTGACCACTGAGGTTGGGGCAAGAGATGTCCACCTGCTGGCCAACACCCCTGCTAGCCTGGCTCAAATTTATCTAACACTTCATAAGGTCAAGGGTAGGATCTTGCATACCCCATTTCAGGAAGGCTCAGAGCCGTTCCGTGAGGCACCCTCATCCTCCTGTGCCAAGGACATGGGATGGAGACCAGAGGCCTTGCCTAAGCAGTGCCTGTATGTGGCATTGGCCACACTGCCCAAGAGCTTGGCAGGGTCCCCCAACATCCCTGCTGAGAGCTGGTGTTTGAAACACAGGATAGGTCACCCACTGAGCTACAGGTCAAACACCACCACTGCCCTGGGAAGTAGCTCAAGTCCCATGTAGTTAGTGTTAGAATCTCACCAGTGAGATGGGGAAGAGAGCAAGAAAGCTGTGTTGTCAGGGTGCTAAGAAAGCCAGCAAAGACATCCTAACGTCCCACCAAGGCTGCTGGCAAGGGCTGAGGTAGCCTCTGTTCTCTGTCCTGATGCAGCAGCCAAGAGGGCAGATATAGTAAACACGAAATTACACCCACAGGAGAGCACAGGCTGCTACCGTCCAACCTCAGCCAACGCAGAATGGACAGGTTATGAACCAATGCCCAGATACATGGCTGCAAGAGCCTACTCCTTTCACATTTGCAGGTTTCATGCTGCCCAAGGCAGGTGCAGGATTGCAGATAGGGGGACCTGTCATCCCACTTGTGTACTGACATGTTTTCCTTACACCCACTTCTCTCAAAGTTTTTCTCTTGAATTACAGTAACTGGGATGAAATTTTAGCGGGAAATAGACAACACCCCTGAGAGGAGAGCTGAGTCTACCAGAGCGGAGGTCAGAACCAAGGGGCACTCGGTTTGGCAGGCGGTCAGGGTCAGGTCAGCAGTCAGGGTGGGATCTCTGCTTCGTGAGCAGGCATAGAGCAGCCCCTGTAGAGAGAATGTGCCAGTTTAGCAGTCTGCACGTGAACCCAGGCCCTGAAAGACGATATGGCTTCCAAGCAGCACCAGACACGAGGATCCAGCCCAGGTGGGAGGTAGAGGGAAAGGGAATTACCCTGAAGAAGTGGATGGTGATGTCATGTGTCAGGGCACCTCCATGGGAACAGAAGTTTCTCTGCAAAATAGTGTAGGCCAGTGAGAGAGGACCCAATGGTGGGAGGACAAGGATGGGCATCTGACAGGGTAGAGCTGTGAAGATAGCTGCCCATTCACAGCACCACCATGGACCCTGGAGGTCGGCCTTGACACACCAGCATGTTGTCCCAGAACATTCCCTGCTCACTGCCTCTCCACACATCTCCTCTGAGCAACAGGATCCCCAGCCTGCCAGCTCTGGAACTAACACGGGGGGCTCCAGGCACCCAGGCACCCAGTGAGACAGGGGAGCAGCTCTGTGTACTGGATGGAACCTTAGTTCAATCTCTAGTCATAGCTGTGCTTCTCCAAAAATTAGAAAACTATCTCCAAGGTAGAAGCTGTTCCCTGAAGTGAGCAGGGGGTGCGTTTGTCACCTTACTGATCCCTCTTGGTAAGATCAGAGCCCCCAACACTGAGCCACCTGCAAAATGGAAGAGAACACGGCCAGGTGGATAACGGTGTGGTCACAGCATCACCCAGAGTCAAAATGGAAAGAGGTGCATGGTGAGCCAATGGTCTGCAACCTTCATGGGTCCAAACTATTAAGGCCAAGGGCAGTCCTGTGGAGGAGGGAGCAAGCCCGTGTCTGCAACTCACTGGCTCGTGTTGGCGGTAGGTGAGGAGGGCTGTACACCCAGCTCCAGCCAACACAGCTCCACATCCCACATGGTCAGGACCCACAACAAGGCAATTAGCTCTAAGTGACCACAGATGCAGTCATGAATTCAGGAGCCAGCCCTCAGTGACCAGATCATGTGTCATTCCCACATCCCAAGGTCACATACCAGCTCAGAGTTGACCAAGTGGAAGAACTCGGCGAAGTCAGGGGCTGGCTGTTTTGCCTGGGGGCTGCCGACGAGGACAGATGGAGGAAGGCCTAGGAGAATCCTTGGAGAGGAGGCAGCGCGTCAAAGGTGGAGGCAAGGCCTAACTTTGCTTCTCGAAAACTCAGATCTCGGGGCTGCAAGGACCTTCCCAACTTGCTCTTGGAACCAATGTGTCTGGTCTGCAGTCCCCATTGTCCCAAGCCTGGGGCTCACTGAGCACCTGGATCTCACAGTAGACACTCAACATGTGTGACCCAAAACCAGAATGTAAGTTGCGTAAGTAGCAGGGCACCAGTCTAACTAAGCAGTGCCTGTAACTGGAGGATTCCAGCATGTCACATGATTATAAACACTGTCTGAGCACACATGGTCTTCCTTATTTTGACATGAGTTCTTTTCAGCTACATCTTTCAGCAGAGGGACCCTGAGTCTGAGCAGGAAGCTTTACTCCCAAGTGCTTTCCATACCTCTGGGCCCTGCTCTCCATGGGACCCTAAGAGGATGCTATCACAGGCTGGGGAGCAGGGGGACTGAAATGAATGACAGACTCTGGTGCTGTTACCATTTGTACAGGAGTAGCTCCCGCTGTCTCTGAAGGCGAGAGGCCACATCCCATCCGCCTGCCAGAGCCTGGAGCCGGCTGCGGAAAACCCTGAAGAGGAAGTGTCCCTGAGATGGAGCGCGGCCACGGGGCACTATCGCTGAGCCCTGTTCCAGGTCAGCAGCCATCTCCTGGAAAAAATCAAGGCCGAGATGCTCACACACTTCCATCTCTGGTTCCACGTGGTTCTCTGTTGCCATATGTGAAGCACAAAAGTCCTTCGGAATTCCTGTCTGCCCCAATCAGGAGCCTGAAATGAGCCTGGGGGAGAGGTCTCCACAGGGGCTTGAAAGATAAGTGAGATAAGCCTTTTTACTTGAAATTAGAAAGTTGCAAAACTTTGCAAAAATAAGAATAGCACAAAGAACACCTTTACCAGACTCACCCACAGCTAATGTTTTATACCATTTATCATTTGCTTGTACCCTACACGTACAGTGTGAGGATGCACATGTGAGGGTGCACACGTTAGGGTGAATTACGCAGGTAAGGACCGTACACAGCAGGCACTTGATAAATGCCTAAGTGCGCACACACAGTGTCCTTGACAAGCTCAGGTGCCAGCAGAGAAGCAGCCACACTGCCCTGCTCAACACATGTGACTCTGCTGTGCCTGCCCTCTCTCCAGTCACTGCTTCCACATCAGTCATGATGGATGTGGAGAACAGGTCAAGATGAGGGGTCAAGGGAATCAGGTCTCTTTTTGGTGGGATTTTCACTCATTTTTAAGTGAATTTCCCCCATGCTCCAAGCCACAATCTCCATGGTGTCCCTTCCATTCCCCACATTTCCTAAATCCAGGCACTGAGAGGCAGCAGGAATGCCACCAGGAAGCATGAAATCCACACACAGAACCCTATAAAACAGAACTGCTGTGCATTTCCAAAGGTAGGTTCCCATGTATATGTCGACAGAGGCAGGTGGGGCTCAGAGCCTGACCTTTATGCCCTGGGAAGGTCTGAGGAGAGCAGGCATGCTGACTGCACCCCTCTCTTGCTCTCTGAGTGCTCCCACACGGGTGAAAGAGCCTGGCTGCCTGGGGAGGTGCCAGCCAACCCAGTGACATTCCATGAACTGTAGATCCTCTGCCAGGTGGAGTCATTGACATCACTTCTCAGAGCCCAACATCCAAATGGACAGCCAAGAGTAAAGCAGAAAATAGTGGGGTAGCAACAGTTTTATTACCAAAGTTGGTATTTTCTTAATTGCCTCTATTTTCAGAAATGTCCCAAAGCCTATAGATGATTCCAGCATTACAGCTTTGGTTTCTGTGTTTCTATGATGTGCACTGACCAGGTTCACAGAGCACCTGTCATCGGTCTCGGCCAGTGTGTGTGATGCGAGTTTTCATTCTGCTCAGTTGCCTTAGGACCCATTATGGATATTCATAATAAATATCTTAATAATACATGGCTTAATGCAGTGAACACACTGAGATTTGCACCTTTTAACTTACTTGCAATCTTGAAAAAATATCCCGATTTCCCTTGGAGCCACCAAGAACCAAATCAGAATTCTCTGAGTGGTCGCAACTCCTTGAGCTGAAACGAAAACAAAGTAAAAGCCTCCTGAGCACTAACTGTGCTGGAGTTCCTGCTTCTCCTGCCTCCAGAGTGGCGCGTGGCCACAGGAATCAACAAACAACAAAACCTTCTGCAGCAAAATACCAGCAACCCACATTCAGCAACATATAAAAACAATTATGTACTGTGATCTACTGGGACTTTCCCAAGAATGCAAGGTTGGTTCAACATCCAGAAATCCATTAATATAATACACATATCTATAGAAAAACAAAAACCATCTGATCATCTCTATAGATGCAGATAAAGCAACAGACAAAATTCAATACCTTTTCAAGATTAAAAACACTCAAGCCAGGAGAAAGGAACTTCCTCAACCTGATAAAGAACATTTATGAAAAACACACAGCTAACCTCACAATGAATGATGAAAAATTGAAAGCTTTCCTCCTAAGATCAGGAACAAGACTAAGATGTCCCCTCTCACTGCTTCCACTCAACACAACAGAAGTTCTAGCCAGGACAGTTCAGCCAGAAAGAGAAGTAAAAGGTGTCCAGGTGGGAAGGAAAAAGTTAAACCATCTCTATTCACAGATGACATGATCTTATATATAGATGATCCTAAAGAATCTACAATATAAACTATTAGAGCAAATAAATGAGTCCAGCAAAGTTGCAGGATAGGAAATGTATATACAAAAAACAGTTGTATTTCAATACACTTGCAAAGAATAATCAAAAATAAAATGAAAACAATAATTCCATTTACAATGGTGTTAAAAAGAATAAAATACTTAAGGATAAATTTAACCAAGGAGGTATAAGACTTGTATGCTGAAAACTTTAACACATGTTGAAAAAATTAAAGAAGACATAAATAAATATAAGATATCCCATGTTCATAGATAGGAAGATCAGTGTTGTTAAGATGACAGTACTCTGGGGGGAGGCATAGGTGGGTAAAGGGGGAATAAATGGTGATGGAAGGAGATTTGACTTGGGGTGGTGAACATACAATACAATATACAGAGGTGTATTATAGAACTGTACCCCCGAAACCTATATAATTTTATTAAAACCAATGTCACCCTAATAAATTCAGTAAAAAAGAAAAAAAAGATGTCAATACTCCCCAAATTCATCTACAAAGACAATGCAATCCCTATCAGAATCCTATTTGATTTTGTAGAAAATGGCAAGCTGATGCAAAAACTCAGATGGAATTGCAAAGGACCCAGAATAGCAAAAAGAACCTTAAAAAAGAATAAAGTTGTCCCTGACCAGTGTGGCTTCGTTGGTTGGGGCGCCATTCCATACACAGAAGGGTTGCAGGTTCAATTCCCAGTCAGGGCACATACCTAGGTTGCAGGTTCAATCCCAGGCGGGACACCTATGGGAGGCAGTCCACTGATGATGTTTCTCTCTTTCTCTCCCCCACTTCCTCTCTCTCTCTGAAGAGCAATGAATGTGTTCTCAGGTGAGGATAAATAATAATAATAAAGTGGCTTGGTTTATATTATTTAGAAAATAAAAAGAACAAAGTTGGAGGACCCACAGTTCCCAACTTAAAACTTGGTACAAAGCTACAGTAATCAAAACAGTGTGAGGCTGGCTAAGGATGAACCTGTAGATCAACAGAAATAAACCCTCACATGTACAATCAACTGATTTTTGACAAGGGTACCAAGACCATTCAATGGGGAAGGGACAGTCTCCCCAGCAAAGGTGGTAGGAAACTGGACATCCACAAGCAGAAGAATAAAGTTGGATCCCTAACACACACCACGTACAAAAACTAACTCAAATTGATCAAAGGCCTAAATATAAGAGCTAAAACTAGAAATAGATGAATTGGGCTTCATAAAAACTTAAAACATTTATGCATCAAAGTATCCATTGATGGAGTGAAAAGATGACTTACAGAATGGGAGAAAATATGTTCAATTCAAAGGTCTGATAAGGATCTAGTACCAAGAATATATGAAGAACCCTCACAACCCAATAAAATAAGCCAATTTTAAAATGGGCAAAGGATCACCCTAGCCAGTTTGGCGGAATGGTTAGAGCGCTGGATCACGGACTGAAGGGCCCCGGGTTTGATTCTGGTCAAGGGCACATACCTCTATTTTAGGCTCGATCCCCAGCCCTGATATGTGCATGAGCGGAAGGCAACCAATCAATGTGTCTCTCTCACATCGATGTATTCTCTCTCTCCCCTTCCACTCTCTCTGAAAAGCAATGGAAAAAATATCCTCGGGTGAGGATTGAAAAAATTAAAAATGAAATAAACTGTAAAATCAATAAATAGTTTAAAAATAATAAAGTAAATAAAATAAAATGGGCAAAGGATCTGAAAAGACATTTCTCCAAAGAAGATACACGAATGGTCAACAAGTAATGAAAAGATGCTCAGTCATTAACCATCAAGAAAAAGCAAATCAGCCCGGCTGGGCGTGGCTCAGCAGTTGAGCATCGACTAGGATCCAGGTAATTGGGTTTCGATTCCCAATCAGGGCACATGCCCAGGTTGTGGGCTCAATCCCCAGTGGGGGGTGTGCAGGAGGCAGCTGATCAATGACTCTCTCATCATTGATGTTTCTCTCTCTCTCTCTCTCTCTCTCTCTCTCCCTCTCCTTTCCTCTCTCTGAAATCAATAAAGATATATTTTAAAAAAGAAAAGAAAATCAAAACCATAATGAGCCCAGCTGGACGTGACTCAGTGGTTGAGCATCAATCTAGGTTCCAGATCATGGTTCAATTCCAAGTCAGGGCACATGCCCAGGTTGTGGGCTCAATCCCCAGTGGGGGGCGTACAGGAGGCAGCTGATCAATGATGACCCTTACCATTGATGTTTCTCTCTCTCTCTCTCTCTCTCTCTCTCTTTCTTTCCCTTCCTCTCTCTGAAATCAATAAAGACATATTTTTAAAACAAACAAACAAAACCATAATGAAATATACATCTATATACCCACAGGGATAATTATCAAAAACCCAGATAACAACGTTGGTGATAATGGGGGAAACTGGAACACTTCCACACTGCTAATGGGAATGTAAAATGGTATAGTTTTGGGGAAAAGCCTGGTAGTTCCTTGAAAAGTTAAACATAGAGTATGACCCACAAATTCCATTCCTTGCATACGTCCAAGAAAAATAACACTGGACCACACAAGACCTGCACAAAAATATTCACAGAATTCTTCACAAAAGCCAAAAAGTGAAAACCCAAATGCCCATCACCTGATGATGGATAAACGAAACGCGGTACATCCTTCAACGGGATGGACAGTCATAAATGGGAACGAAATTCTGATGCGCACTACGTGAACCTTGACAACATTCTGAGTGAGACACAAAGGACATGTATTGTGTGATTCCACTTATATGAAATGTCCAGAACAGACAAATCCATAAACAGAACATACATGTCCACCCTGCTGAGCTGTGCTCAGGAGCACACAGGAAAGCTGGAGGCCAAGAGCACCACCCCAACTTTAGTCTGCCTGAGTTGCTCCTGGCCACTATGTGCTGGTAGGAAAACGTGAAGCTGTTTGTATTGAAAGGACATGAGTGTGTAAAGAGTTGTGCTGACGGAGACTATCTACAGATTCTCATGGGCAGAGGAACAATGTGTTGTGTCTTCAGTAACCACTGCCTATGTCACAACAGGATTTTTTTCTTATGGTTGATGTAACATGCTGTATCACCTAAAATGTGGAGCAAGGAATCTCACCTCACCCCTTACACAGCAATCATGAGGATGAAAAGACAAAAACAGACCCCCTTGGCAGAAGCACAACCAGCATAGCCTAGGCGACACAGGGAACCTGTTTTTTGTGGTAGTAGGGCCACATTATTGCTTCATGCATCTCAGGTGGTGAGACGTAGTACTCGCCACTTGCTAGAGCACTTGTTCCACTTTTCACACTTGCTGACCCTCAATTCTGGGTAGCAAACATAGAGTCGTTGCCAATGGCAAAGGTACACAAAGGAAACTGGTTCAGGAAGCTTACCTTTATTTCTAATAGACTCGGACTTACTATCAAAATATGTTCAGTTGTGCTTTGGTTAATACAAATTGAACTGAGCGAAATAAAAATATCCTTAGAAAAGGATATTAAAAGTAAGATGCTTTTTGGCATCAGCATTCCTGACCTTTGGCAGAAGTCCATCAGCACATTGACAAGGATGGTGCACGCTGTCTCCAGGTCTCCACTGAGGCCCCCTGCAGTGGAGGGTGCAGGGAGGAAATGCTCATAGATGGCCCACTGGTGGAAGTCCCGCCTGCACAATAAATGCCAAATCTGTGCTTTAACAGCTATAAACAAAAGCTCACATAGTAAGAATTGAGACCCCAGTGAGGGGCACAGCATCGCAGGGGTGGGATCCGGGGCCTGGGGTTGAAGGAAGGCCCTTGACCACTGATGAACTCCTCAAGGGCCACCCACACCTGCTGAGCTGGGTACAGAGGCTAAGGACTCCTCCCAGGGTGCCTGTGAGCTGCCCCAGGTCCACAGCACAGGTGTGCAGACATGGACAGCTGCCCACAGTAAAGTCTGAGGACACTGCAAACACAGCAGAGCCAGCGGCACTGCCATCTGTGAAGGCGCCAAACAGAAGCACGAGCAGGCAAGGAGCCTTGGTGATCATCTTGTGCTTTCCCCATCTGAAAACTGTGCAGACCCATCTGAGGAAGGAAATCCCAGGACAGGTGCAAACAGTGTCCACATGCAGTGGGCTCAGGGTGAGTTGAGTGGTCACAGACCCTCATGCCAGAAAACTAACCCTTTTCTTCCTGCTAGAAAGAGGAGTTCAGGAAGGGCAGAGATGCCAGGGCACGTGAGCATGTGTGCAAAGCCCTCCCAAAGCTGGCCTGACGCAAGGAAACAAAAATCCATTTTGTTGAAAAAAGTAGTTGCTCTTTTCATTGTCACAGCCTTTTTCTTTTCTCATTGTCCAGAATCTGACACCACAAGACAAGGGTGGAGACAGACAGCACCCCATGTGACTAGGAAGGGTCTCTGACTTAACAAAGCACAATGGGGCTCCAGGACTCTGTTGCCCTCAGCTGCTCCCTTGGGCTCCCGTGCCCTCCCTGACCTCTGTGCCCCCAAACCCACGGGCCCTATCAGCACCCCACTTGCATGGCCAGAACAGCACTCCAGACCTCCAGGTGGTCTCAATAATTCAGACCTTGATTGATCCACTCCTGGAGCCACCCCCTTACAGCCGATGCTCCACGGGCCACATGCCCAGCCCTCTGACTCCTCAGTGGGCTGCATGTGCTCTCTCACATGGAAGGTGGACGCAGGATCAGCAGACACGAGCTGAGAACATGCTTGGTCAGCCCCCACCAGGGCTCCTCACCACATGCAACTGCTCTGTCCCCACCTTGGGAAACTTGTGTTTGCTGCTCCCGCGGCGCCTTTTCTGGGCACTAGCTCTCATAGCCCTGCCTGGTGCCTTTAGAGAACACGTCCCTACGTCTAATCCACTCTGTCTACATGCTTGTCCCCAGGCCCACACAGGTGTCAGCTCTGTGCAGTTCCTGGGCCAGACTGACCCATTAGGAGTGTCAGGAGTCAAGGTGCCACATAGGCACGCGTGTCACATTGATAAGGCATCCCCAGCTGCTAGAACATTCTAAAAGTGTCTAGCAAACAGCTCAATGTTTCTTGAATAAAGGAGTGAATGAAATTGTGCTCATAGGTATGTTAAACTGAACACTAAGTTAAGGATATAATGATAAAACTCAAGACTTTAAGACAATGTAGAAAACCATATAACATTTTGAGGAGCGGAACCCTTTAAACACTTACCTTTCTATGTCTGAAAGAGAATCCACTTCAGGGTGAATTTCCAGTTCCAGCTGTACCCAGTCTCTGTAAGTTAACTGAGAGAAGGACCAGCTGGGTGCCATGGCGAGGATGAAACCCAGGAACCACAGGTCCAGTTTACCCAACAGTCCCATAGGCCAGAACCCTCATGTGATCAGAGTAACCTCTACTCATACCATCTCCCACTGCGGGACCGAGGTGTTGGCCCCAAGCCCTGATGAAGAACTGATCTATTGCTTACTTTAACTGTGAATGTGAACCTGACTAAAAAGGGTAAACCTGAACTTTTTAAAATTGAATTCTCCAGCACCCTGCAGGTTTGAACAATGACCCGTGGAATCTGTAAACCTCTCAGATTACTGCTCAGCAGCCCAGGGAAAGAAGTTACTCTCTAGTTCCGGGAGCTGGGCAAGTAACAAAAGAATAAACTTGATATAGTAACATTCAGAAAATATTCACGGTAGCATATTTCTTGTTTTCAAATTCTTGGAACAAATTCACGCATCAACCCGGACTATTTTCAGAATTTCACACTGGGTGTAAAACAGCACATCACATAAACGAGTACCACACACTCCAACAGTGAGGGCCACAGCTGGGCAATGCAGCAATGCGGTGTTCAGGGATATTGTAGAACCTGGGGCAGGGCTGCGATGACCCAGGGCCTGGACAGCGACCCTGAAGTGCAGGTGAGGCACCTACTAAGCTGCTGGGGGGCACAGCTATTCCCAGAGTCATTGCTCCTTACATTACACAGACCATCAGGTCTCCTCTTGTATAAATGATATAGCTAACAATAAAAGAATTGAAAAAATAAATATAGCAACTGGGAATTCTTTCTTTAAAGACCAAACCAAACAAGTAAACAACCCAGAATAAATGCAAGTTATGAAAAGGAAGCAGAGATGAGGAGCGGGCACACTGGCCAAGTGGGAAAGGCTCCCAGAGACTGTGTTCCGAGAAGCCTGGCCCCAAACTGGAGCCTGGCAGATGTTTAAAATACATTTTCATCCACTCTTAAAATTCTCTGCAAAATGTTCCTGTTGGGGAAACTGGGCAAAGAGTAGAAGGCATCTCTCAGTCTGGTTTCTTACACCTGTGTGGGAATCTACCATCATCCCAATAACAATTTCAACCAAAGCCACGCCTGTGCTGCTCGGACGTCGCCATGTCAGGCCCACCTGCCCACCCAACACATCCTCAGGCCCCAGATCTGTACCTTCAAACCCGGGAGTTAGGATGAAGTGGGAAACAAGGGGAGGGACAGTGGGACCTACATGAAATTCCATCTTCTTCAACAGTTCCTGGAAGGCCCTCTGTCTCCACAGACAGAGGGAGGCTCGCTGCCAGTCTGCAGGCAGCAGACACAAGGGTCTCCAGGGAAGGCTGGCTGTGTCCTCCACAGAGAGAGTGTCTCGGGCTTCTGAGAACAATCTGAGCACAATGAACTGAAACTGAAAAGAGGCAGCAATGTGTCTGTGAGGTTCAGAAAATACTCATGTAACCTGGCCACGTACAGCAGGGCAGTGAAGACCCTGCGTCACCTGCAATGGCCTCACTCTCCCCTTGTGGAGCACGCTGGGCACCCAGTGACCAGTCACAGATGGCATCTCTGTGAGCAGCCCTGTACATAAACCTTTGTACACACAGGATGGTTTCTCTGGGCTGATGCCTAGAAGCTAAATGGCTGGGTCTGACCTGCCCTCCACAGGGTGGTGTCATCTTCCCAGGCCCTGGCCAGCACTGGTGTCTTCAGGAAGTGTGCATTGGATAAGCAAATTCTATGAGGAATGTGTTAATTTGTAGCCCTTTGCACCTTAGGAAGTCAGCTGTTTCCTGTGTTTCTTGTGTAGGCTGGACCATATGGGGGAATCAGTGTGGCTGGGGACTTCCTTGTTGGGGTGACTCCTCCTGCTCTTCATTCCATATTTTAAACTTTGGCAGCTGGGACTAAGCTCCTCAACATCAATGACAGGGCCCCCCAGCTGCTCCCAACACCTGTAAGGCCTAAGAGGCTGGGCTTTTAGAGCTTCTCAGTTGATCCTAATGTGGAGCCTGGACTGAGAATCAGGTTTAAACCTCACAAGGGAGGTTCCTTAAATCTCTGCAAAAGGAGCAGCAACCTCACCTGCATGGCTGACACTTAAGTCTTCTAACATGCTTTAAATTTCTCATCTCCTAACAAGTCTAACAAGCACTCACAAGATGACTGAACTTTTAAAGGAAATGCAATTCTTTGGGAAGATTCTTACACCCCTCCTTTTAACTTAGAACAGGAGGGAAAGGCAGCGTCCAGCCCAAGCAGACAGCCTGATAAACAAGGGAGCATGGGCAGTGGACTCTTGGATAAAAACCAAACTCAGGAGAACGGAAAAAAGGAATCTAAAAGACCCACCTTTTTTATAAGGCCTGGAGATAAACAGCTGTACCAAGCATCACATGACTGGGAAGAAAACTTACACAAAGAGTAAGAAATTGCTGCGGTACAAAATCTGAAAATAGAAAACGGAAATTGTAACAGAAATGTGATCCATGAAAATAAGGGATGAGCCCAGCCAGCATGGCTCAGCGGTTGAGCATCAACCTAGGATCCAGGAAATCGTGGTTCAATTCCCAGTCAAGGCACATACCGAGGTTTCAGGTTCCATCCCCAGCGGGGGGCGTGCAGGAGGCAGCTGATCAATGACTCTCTCATCATTGATGTCTCTCTCTCTCTCTCCTTTCCTCTCTCTGAAATCAATAAAAATTTTTTAAAAAAAGAAAAACAGGGATGAGAGAGAGGTGTCAGTCTCACAAAGTGAACCAAGTGCCTTCGAAGCCAGAGGTCCTGAGCGTCAGTCCTCAATCGGCTTTAGCTCCTGAGCACTGGGGAGGTGGCCCCTGTCATACCTGTCAGGTCTGAGCTCTGTCCATGCTGCCGGCAGAGACTCAGAAGAAGATTGACCCCGGGCCCAGAAAAGTCAGGAAGGTGGTGAGGAAGAAAGTGGGACACTGGGGCACCTAGAGGACTGACTCCCAATGGGGACTGTTCAGTATTGTCAAAAGCTCACAAGGGGGGAGGAAAACAAGATGGCAGCGTAGGTAACAGCTGTACCCACCGCCTCCCAACACCACATCAAAATTACAGCTAAAATACAGAACTACCATCACTCAGAACCTCCAGAAATCTGGCTGAAGAGAAGCCCTACAACCAGGGAACTGAAGAAGCATTGAGAGCGGTAGGAGGGGCGGAGATGAGGGGGATCGGGGCTGAATCACAGAGACGTGGCTGCTGGCCCACACCCGGTGCTGTGGTTGAAACCCGGGAGGGAATCTCAGAGATGGGGTTTCCTGGAGGAGTGAGGGGTCACAGCCCCATATCAGGCCCCCCAGCCCAGGGCTCCAGGGCCGGGAAGAGATGTCCCCACAACTCCAGGCTGTGAAACCAGAGGGGACTGTCACTGAGGGTCACGGAGGCTGCGGGAGCCCCAGGCTTTACTCTTAAAGGGCCAGCTCTTGGACTCACTCAGACGCTCCTTCTGAGCCTAAGCGCCCAGCAGGAGCTTGAAAGGAACCTGGGACACCTGGGGAGGAACTAACCTACCTGAAATCGGGGCAAAAAGTGGAGGGGCAGCTTTCACCCAGGCAGAAGAGGCCATTGCTCCTTTGGTGAACCCTCCCCCGCACAAAGCCAGCAGGCAGGCGCCATATTTGAATCACCAGGCCCTGAATCACACCTTTGGACCGCCCGTGATTCCCGGAGGCCCCGCCCCTACCTAACCACAAGCTCATCCAGGCCATTTCCAGGGGTTTTTCTGTGCAAGTGGCCTCTCAAGCCTCATGCTTAGGACTTTCCTAAAATCTCTCAAACAAGCAACAGCGTGCCCATACAGCTTGATAAGTGGCCCCAGGCCTGGCACTAGCGGCAGCCTGCATTGGCTCATAGCTTGGCCTCTCCTGGACACCTCCGACCCCAGCACAAGTAGCAGCCAACTACGGTTTGCTGTGTAGTCAAAGCACTGGCATAGGCTGACTTTGTACCTCCCGGTAGGCCCCAGACACAGTGCACCTGGTGATCAGGCTCTACCACGCTGGACTACAACCCTACCACATCCACGAGTGACACACTCAAGGGGCGCACTTGGTGAACACCAAAGCTCCACTGAAGTAAAACCTGCTCCACAGGGGTGTCTCCAGCACAGCAGCTCTCTGGCTGTAGTTGCAGCTGGTCCTCACAGCTCATTGGCCTGGGGGTCAATTCCTCCCAGCAACCAAGGCTCAACTACAACAGGACAGTGCACACAGCCCACACAGGGGAGCACCTAGAAGGCCCAGCTCAGGTGACTGGGGAGGCTGAGCCGCTGGCTCCTACAGGACACCTACTACACAAAGCGACTCTACCAATTCCAGGAGACATAGCAGCTCTACCTACTACATAGAAACAAACACCTGAAAGCAGCCAAAATGTGGAGGCAAAGAAAGATGTCACAAAGGAAAGAACAGAAGAAATCTCTAGAAGAGGAACTAAATGAAATAGATCCAAGCAAGCTAACAGATAGAGAGTACAGAATTTTGTTTATAAGGATGTTTAAACAGACTGTTAGGGAAATAACTGAGAAAATTGATAACATAATAAAGTACCAATTTGAAATGAAGGCTACAGGAACTGAAATGAAGAATAATTTACAGGAAATCAACAGCAGAGTAGAGGACGCTGAGAATCAAATCAGCAATTTGGAACACGAGGAAACAAAAAACACCCAACTAGAAGAGCAAAAAGAAAAAAGAATCCAGAAATATGAAGATAGTATAAGGAGCCTCTGGGACAACTTCAAGAGGCCCAACATTCGTATTATTGGGGTGCCAGGAGAAGAAAGAGACCAAGGAATTGAAAACCTATTTGAAAAAATAATTATAGAAAACTTCCCCTACCTGGGGAAAGAAATAGACTTACAAGTCCAGGAAGCACAGAGGGTCCCAAAGAAGAGGAACCCAAAGAGGCCCACACCAAAACACATCATAATTAAAATGCCAAAGGTTAAAGACAAAGACAGAATCTTAAAAGCAGCAAGAGAAAAGCAGTTAGTTACATACAAGGGAGCACCCATATGACTGTCAGCTTATTTCCCAACAGAAACTTTGCAGGCCAGAAGGGAGTGGCAAGAAATATTCAAAGTGATGAAAAACATGGAACTACATGGATGACTCTACCCAGCAAAGCTATCATTTAGAATTGAAGGTCAAATAAAGAGCTTCTCAGACAAGGAAAAGCTAAGGGCGTTCATCACCACCAAACCAGCACTACAGGAAATGTTGAAGTGTCTTCTTTAACAAGAAGCTAATGAACAAAAGAATCTGATGAACTAAATACATCCAGAGACACTGATGCATGTTAACAGACGATCATATTTCAGAGGAAAGAGGGAAGGGGGTTGGAGAGTGGGAAGAGATTAACCAAAGAAGTTATATGTAGCCCGGCCGGGCGTGGCTCAGCGGTTGAGTGTCGACCTAGGATCCAGCAATCGGGGTTCGATTCCCAGTCAGGCACATGCCCGGGTTGCGGGCTCGATCAATGACTTTCTCATCATTGACATTTCTATCTCTCTCTTTCCCTCTCCTTTCCTCTCTCTGAAATCAATAAAGATATATTTAAAAAAAAAAAAAAGTTATATGTATATATGCATAACCCATGGATACAGACAATGATGGAGTGAAGGCCTGGGGAAGGGGTGGGAGCGAGGTGGAGGGGGTCAACTGGGGGGGAAAAAATAAGACACCAAAACGTTAACAAGTAATTATCTGAGGGGTACATCTGTTACTTTTATCAACAGAGGACACAAGTGACTAAAAAACCAGGGGGAGGAGCTCACTTGAGGCAGAAGAGCAAGGACTCCTTGGATGTGCACGTCAGGAGGCTGTTGAAGAATTCGGGGATGGAGAGGCCCCTGGCAGGGGGAGGAGGGCCCACATGAACCTCCAGGAGCACAGACGTGGACTCGCAGAGGTGGATGACCAGGGCAGCCAACCCTAGCACGTGTGAGGCACTCAGGCTCGGGCCCTAAAATGAAACAGAAAATGGGTTCTGCAGGAGGGAGTGTGCAAAGCCCACTTCCCAATTGGAGGGAGGCAGCAGCCCTACCTGATGGATAAGCTGGCAGAGCCTGGAGAGCACAGCAGGGAGGAGCGTGCATCCACATGTGGCCGTCACAAAGCGGGTGGCCCAAGAGCCCTGCCTGCAGAGACAATGCCAGTCCCAGTCCTGCACAGCCCTCCCAGCGTCTGGGGTACGAGCACTCGAGCACAGGAGGCCTCAGCAAGAACCAGGTGGTTCCCCAAACAGCGGCATCTTCTGTGGCAATGCTCAACTCCTGCCACATCCCCACTGGATAAAAGTCAGCATGGCCCCTCCACCAGCAGTCCAACAGGAGGCCAGAGGACTAGGAACTGATGGGCACTGTCATCATGGAACACGGAGAGAGGCTCTGCTCCACAAGGGGGGCTCACTTAGAGCAGCAGGCCACCCCCAGGACAGCTCAAGCTACCCAGAAAAACTGCCCAGATTACCTGTCTGGTGGGGCAAAGCTGGAGGCTGCCATTAGGTTCTGACAGAAGGATGTCAGCAGTAGATCCACGACCTGAGAGAAAAGACGACCCAGAGGGGAACATGTATGAGCCGGATCTTGTATTGTTTACACAATTTGACAGGCTTGCATTCGGAAACTCCAAAGCAAACTGGTAAAAGAATCCCCACTCCCAAATCCTGGGAACATGACAGGCCACGTGTTGTCACACAATCTCCTGTTATGAAATTTTACAGCAGAAAGCAGGGCTGGAGAACAAATGTTTTAGGCTTTGGGGACACAAACTGCCTCTGCTGCATGTGCTTTGCACACACAGGTGGGGCTGGCTGACCCTGGTATGGAGCGCCCTGACTGTCTTGGCTCCATGTATATACTTTATGTAGTAGAACATGAGTAAAGAAAAGGGCTTTCAGTTCTTTAGCACAACCCAGCAGAGCTCTCTAGCATCACACACGCACCTGCTGCTCCCGCTGCTCCAGTTTGGGAGCAAGAACACTGAGCTGGATCTTTGAGACCTCAGAGCTGCTATCGTCCTCACTGAGGCCCAGGGCAGAGCTCAGCCTTTCAGAAACCAACGCAATCTGAGCAGACAAAACTGCAAATGGAAGAGCTTAGTCAGGTGAGCAGTGGTATGAGGAGGAGGTGCACAGAGGAGCTGATAGGGGGTGTAGAAACTACTCAACACCATCCTGACTACACCCCAGGGCCAACTCACTGCAGGTTGCAATGACTAGACTGTGGAGAGGATGGCACAGCAGTCACTGTTCACACCTGTACTTCACATGAGGTCTGATGCATTGTCACCCTCACAAACCTCACCGCTTATTCAAATTCATCTGAATCACATGCCAACTCTCCCCACACTGTAACATCTGCTGGAGGCTCCCATCCCAGCTGCTACCATTCTGCTGCCTTTGGAAACAAAGCTGACCTGACCTTTCAGCCACTTTGCTGCAGCTCTGGGGCCCCGGCCCTGGGATCCGACACCACGTTCTGCAGAGGCACAGCTCTGAAAGGCCATGCTACCAGCCCATCATGCACTCAGCAGGATCACAGCTAAGGCCCTGGAGGCACTCAGCAAGCAGCAGAACTAAGGTGGTTTTGTTAGTATTTCCTCCAAGAGGCTCTCTCAGGATAGTCTTTCCCAGCTGGAATAAAATGAATGCATAACAGTCCGGGCCAGGTGGTTCGGCTGGTTGTAGCATCATCCTGTGCACCAAAAGACTGCAGGTTCGATTCCAGGTCGGGGCGCATATGGGAAACAAGTGATCAATGTTTCTCTCTCTCCCCCTTCCTCTCTCTAAAAATCAATGAACATATCCTCAGTAAGGATAAAAAAATGAATTCATAATAAATCTGTTACAGTTACTAGGTAAAAATATGGCCTATTATTTTGGATTCTACATTTCCCATAACAAGAGTCTGAAAGTGCTGGAAGTTAGTATTTTGTTTCATGGACTGCTGTGCACCACTGCGGGGTCTGAACAGTCAGGGCTCCTACTCCAGGGAAACAACTCACAGAGCAGCAGGAATAAATACCAGCCACTACCACCTTGAGGGAGTAGACCAGCCACTGAGCACCATCCATGGTCGCACACTGCTACTGACCCCTGCCCACTGCTCATCCTCACCATCGTACTGGGCAGGGTCTGTCATGGCGGCCCTGAGCTCTAGAAGTGCAGCTGTCAACAGTCCCAGGGAGCCTTCCGCACAGCTGGGTTCCACCTCCACCTTCAGTCCCAGGGCTACATCTGAGAGACCGGGAAGGGTGATTTTAACAAACCAGAAAGAAAACACACCCACAGCAGAATGTGGACCTGCTCATTCCCATGGGTTCTCTATCCACAAGAGGGAACATGAAACCATCCTGAGGCATGATGCTATCATATCAGAAATCAAGACATTTATAAACAAGTTTAAGAACAAGCATGGTCTACCCACCCCATTGCCATAAGTGCGAAAAGCATGTGCCTGAAGAAAAAAGATGAGGAGCACAACAAGGGAGGTTGGGCAGGAGACAGAATCATGAATGGCTTACTCCCTGTTTCTCAAACTTCTAAGTAACATCATTATACTGTTGTTTACCATAGGATGTTAAAAAAAATAAAGAAAAAAAACAATCAGTTTTTTAAATGCAAAGCAAGTTCAATTCTGGTGTCACTGGAGAAGACACTTGTGTGTGCAGCAAGCCTTACACTGGTCTCCACAGTGACACCAGGAACCAAAACCTAAGGCTTCTGTTGATGAGCCCCATCACATAAAGTTCTGCAGCAGAAGAGTTTTAAAAGCTCTGAAAAGTAGGACCTGGGACTGAGTGAGGAGGACCAAGGCTACACACAGCACCCTCAGCAAAGCTGCCATCTCAGCACTGGACCTAACACTTGTGAGATCTGGGACCTTCATTCTTTGCCAGCTCAGGGGTTTTGGGTCTCCATCTGTTATGAGTTATCCAGGCTAGTGAAAGAGGGGTTCTGGCACACAGAAGCCCTGTGAGCCTACGCAGCCCTGCAGACATCAGAGGGTTAAAACCAGCAAATACAAGCTGCTTCAGTAGCGCACCTCCTGCCCCTTGTCCAGTGAGTGCTGAGCACCCAGCCTAATGGCACTGCTGATAGCCGCCTTGTCAGTGGCCAGGTAGGGTTGGCAGAAACATACCAACGAGTCTGCCCAGCTGCTCCAAGCACAGCTGTCTCACCTCTACATCCTTTCAGAAGTGACCCAGGTCCATGTCGTTCCCTAGAAGCAGAAAGACCCCCCCAAACCCACCACAAAAGAATGCAACTGTATAAATGGTCAGAAAGCTGTCGCAGACCAGCCCTGGTGACAGGCTTCAGAAACAACATGCCTGGCCTGGAGCCCAGCTGCTGAGTCTGAGAGGTTACCTGGATTTAAAGCTTAGACTCAGGACAGGCAAGCAGAAACTACATCACCCCCCAGTGGGGCACTCAAACAGCAGAATGACTTTTGTATGGCACACACTGCTTTAGGAACATGCTCCTTCAGGTAACGTTAGCACCTCCAGGCTCAGAGCCTGTGAGATGATGGCATCACATCCAGCCCTCCTGGTACACAACTGAGGCCAGTGTTGGGCAGGCTCTGAACCCAGAACCCTGGCCAGACCCAGCATAACCTAACCAGACAGCACTGACTAAGGCATCACAGACACATCTCATGACTGAGAACCCGTTACCCTTACTTGCTGGTCTCTTCTCTTCAGCAGCAGAGCAGGCTTGGTGGTAAGTGGAATACAGAGACGGGGGTATTTTATCTGCTCTAGATCAGAACAAAGCATTAAAAATCAGATCAATATAACTCAAGCTAATTCTCAAGCTTACAATTCCAAAAACTATCACAGAACAAAAAAATATGTGGCACAGTAAATGTAATTACTCAGCACTGCACATTATGACCCCATTTTAGAAACGCCACTGTACATGTAAACGGTCCTCACTGGTCCACAATGTCATGTGTCCACATTTCCCAGCAGTGGTTTCACTGGACACAGAGATTACAAATGGTTTTTACTTCTCTCATTCAAGTTTCAATAATTTTCAATTTTTAAAGGGAAAGTTACACAACTTTTAATAAATAATACTAACAAAAACACCCAAATGTGATTACAAATACAAAGAATTATAGAGTAAGTCCTGTGATAAGGACATGGGGCATTTACAAAGTACTGACCCCCTGTTGACACTGTCTCAGGGCACAGTGACAAGTCCAAGGACAAGAGCCATGGAGTCACCCTCAGAGGAGGAGTCACAAGTGGCAACCCAGGTATGGGATGCATGGACAGTGCCATGGCCTGCAGGATAAGAAGCCTTCACATGAGCTGTGAGGCAGGAGGGCACCTGGCCCGCCGGTGCTGCAAATCTTGACAATACAGACAGAAGGAAGGCACAGCTGAGCTCCAGAGTGAGGTCCCGTCAGGAGACTGGAAGTGAGGCAGGGAACACAGCCTGGAGAGTAGGAATCCAGAGGGACCACTAACCAACTGGTCACTGGCTTAAAAATAGAGACCAGCTCTGGCTGGTATAGAGCGTTGGCCCACAGACCAAAGGGTTGCAGGTTCAATTCCCAGTCACAGGCACATACCTGGGTTGCAGGCTCCATCCCCAGCCCAGGTCAGGGTGAGTGCAGGAGGCAACCAATTGATCTGTCTCCCTCACATCAATGTTTCTCTCTCTTTCCCCCTTCCCCCACTCCCTTTCCACTCTCTCTAGAAATTAATGGAAAAAATAACCTTGGGTGAGGATTAACGACAAAAAAAGAGAGAGAGAGAGAGAAACAGATGCAAATAAAATGGAGAAATACACAGAAAACCTCAGGCACCACTATCATTAATACTCTGATGTATTAAAATACAGCAGAAGAGAAACAAACATCAGAAGACAACCCAAGAAGTCTAATATCTGAAAAAACAGGAGCTCCAAGAAGAAAAAAACATAGAGGGGAGGAAACCTGCAATGAAATAAGATGGAATAATTAGTGTTTGGATTTGCTTCAAAATAACCCAGAATGGTGAGTAGGTGGGTGAATTGAGGACTACAGATAAAACAAGACTGGCCATTTGTTGACAATTATTAAAGCTGGGTAAGAGCCCGGCTGGGTGTGGCTCAGCAGTTGACCATCAACCTATGATCCAGGAGGTTGCAGTTGGATTCCTGGTCAGGGCACATGCCCAAGTTGTGGGCACAACCCCCAGTGTAGGACATGCAGAAGGCAGCTGATCAATGACTCTCATCATTGATGCTTTTATCTCTCCCTCTCCCTTCCTCTCTCTGAAATCAATAAACATATATTAAAAAAAAAAAAAGCTGGGTGATAGATACTATTCTCTGTACCTTTCTACCTTAAATTTTTCATAACAAAGGTTTTAAAAAAGACTAAATTTCTTAGCACTGAATGACACGAATTTCCAGATTAAAAGGCCCACCATCTGCCCAGCCAAGAAATGAAATCAGACCCACAGCAATGCACATTGCCATAAAATTTCAGAACACAGTGAAAAAACAAGACACTACAGGCCTCCAGAAAGAAAAAGACAGGGCAAAGAACCAGAAATCGTAAGTTTATAACATCTCAACAACAACAATGGAAGCTCAAAGTCAATGGAGTAATATTTTCCAAAACTTTAGGGAAAACAACTTCCAACCTAGATTTCTATACTCAACCAAACTACCTGTTAAATTTGAGGGCTCAATAAGGTTTCAAAAATTTTTTGCCTCCCATCCATTCTTTCTTAAGAAAAAAACACATCAACAGGATGTGTTCCACCAAAACAAAGGAGCAAACCACTAGGATGATCCCAGACACAAAAAAGAGAAAAATCGGCAAAAGCCAGAGCAACACTACCTGACTTTGAATGAGAGGAATCTAGACAACTGGCAGAGTTTTCAGATGCATCATGATATGTACAAGGAAAACTAAGATAAAACAAAGATAATTATGAACTCCAATGAGAACAAAAGAAAAACCACCAGATCCCTAATGTCAACTCTGAACAGTGTTCATATAGAGAGCCTTCAAAAATAAATACTGAGCTTTAAAAACTACTATACAAAGGACAGCTACTTGTGTTGATGGAGGGTGAAGACCTGGCTTTCTTCCACAGTGGAAAATCAATTGATATTTCCTAAAAATATACAAAATGATAAGCAGCAAAATAAAAATGCTATTTAGAGATATGGAGAGAAATTAAATCAGCGAAGAGTTGAAAATAGTTGCCTCCAGAGAGAAAGAAGTGGCAGGGAAGGGTGAGTGGTGGCTGTTCTCCTTAACAAATTTCATAGAACTATGATTCTTTTTTCTACATCCATATTTAACTTTAACTTTTTTTTTAATCCTCACCTGGCGATATTGTTTCCATTACTTTTCAGAGTGGAAGGGGGAGAGAGATAGAGAGAAACATCAATGTGAGAGAGACACATCAACTGGTTGCCTCCCACACGCACCCTGACCAGGGCTGGGAATCAAGCTTGCAACTGAAGTACGTGCCCTTGACCGGAATTGAACACAAGACCCTTTATTCCATGGACCGACACTCTAACTTCTGAGCCAAACTGGCTAGGGCAACAAAACATTTTTTAAGACTGGAAATAAAGACTAGAGCCAGAATTCTCTGCATTGTCAAAAGCCCTACTAGAAACAGACTGTCCTTGCACACCTCTTCAGGGACTCTATAAAGGCTGCTCGGGAATCAGGGGCACTCGGGATCTGTGAGAGGAAACACGAGACTCCGGTGAGATGCAGACAGGAACATCTTTGCTCTCTGCTGCCTCGGTCCCAAGTTCGTGAAGATGAGTACTGACCACTCGAGGCGTGAGCAGGGCAGGCAGAAAGTGAGAGACATAGTAGGGCCTCCTGAAAATGCTGCAAAACACAAGAGCAGGCTCATACAAGAGAAGCGTCAGGGCACCTCCGTGAATACAACAAAATGTCAGTTTCCACTCAGAGAGAGGCACCAGGTGGGTCGTCTCATTTCATAGCTGTGATGTTAGATCACATTTTTTAAGTCCCAGTTCATGCAAAGGGTAGTCTGTGCTGGTGGCAACCTGTGTCCTAGGGAATTTGGACAATACTCTGGCCCCTGATATGACCATGGATTTGAGTCAATCCAAGGCCACATGGGTCACTTCAGGTCAATGTGGGCATTCTCCTTGGAGCGCATCTAGAAATCCCAGAGTTGGACATTTCTCACAAACAATACCTTAATAAAGCTACCTCATACTGGTATCAACCAGAATTTAACAAGTTTTGGGATTATATCAAATTCAACATAATTTTGGTATTTGGCTCCCTATACTGGCTTCACAGTGGTCACCAATGAAGCATTAATAAAAATCATTATCCCTCTGAACAATGTGGGCTCTGCTTAGCTCCACCTGTTGGCTGTTTTGGGGGTGCCCCTTGCTTTTCTAAAGAAAATGCATGGCACACCAAGGGCTCCACACCAGCCAGCCGCAGGACCATTGCTGGGACACTTACACTGACTCCTGGGTCTCCCTACAAACACGACTGCCCTGGCTCTGAGAACAGATGAGGGGATAACTCCAATAGCATGACCTTACCTGGCCTCCATGACAGCAACGGGAATTTTCCCTGTGTGTTCAAACACCTGGATAGCTTTCTCCACATCCTGGAATGCCTGGCTATGAGGCTGAATCCATTGAGGGAGGAAGGGAAAAGAACAGAAGACTTAGGAGAAGGCTTGTCATTTTGAGGTAAAAGGCACTGAGCTCGATGCATGGCACACTGGGAATTCAGAACCACAGAAAGGCATCAACAGCTTTCTTTCTGCCCTCAGCAAGTGAGACCAATGAACAGCCTGGCAACAGCTCAAACCCTGTTGGAAGTCACTGCCACCCTCCTGCCTCCCTGCATCTTTTCTACCTCTCCTCTCTGCTGTCCCTCTAGGGCTCCAATTAAAGATTTTCAGGTAAGAAGCAGTACAGACTAAATTTGATATTTTTTTAAAAGTACAGTAATAAACCTTAAATGGAAAAATGCACTAAGTGTCTTATAATGCTCACTTTAACAGCATTTGTAACAACCTTCCAGCAACTCACAACTTTTAAGTAAAAGGGTTTTAAAAAAGATACCTATACCACATGACATTTGGTTTACATTAAACATAGTTAAACCCCTTTTTCTCTAATTCTTTTTTAAAATTTATTTATTTTAATTTTTAAATTTATCTTTATTGTTGAGAGTATTACAGGTATCCCATTTTCCCCCCCAATTGATCCCCTCCACTTCCCTCCCACCCCCTTCCCAAGCCTTCACCCCGTTATTAACTGTGTCCATGGGTTATACATATAACTTCTTTGGTTAATCTCTTCCCACTCTCCAACCCCCTTCCCTCTTTCCTCTGAAATATGATCGTCTGTTAACATGCATCAGTGTCTCTGGATGTATTTAGTCCATCAGATTCTTTTGTTCATTAGCTTCTTGTTAAAGAAGACACTTCAACATTTCCTGTAGTGCTGGTTTGGTGGTGATGAACGCCCTTAGCTTTTCCTTGTCTGAGAAGCTCTTTATTTGACCTTCAATTCTAAATGATAGCTTTGCTGGGTAGAGTCATCCATGTAGTTCCATGTTTTTCATCACTTTGAATATTTCTTGCCACTCCCTTCTGGCCTGCAAAGTTTCTGTTGGGAAATAAGCTGACAGTCATATGGGTGCTCCCTTGTATGTAACTAACTGCTTTTCTCTTGCTGCTTTTAAGATTCTGTCTTTGTCTTTAACCTTTGGCATTTTAATTATGACGTGTTTTGGTGTGGGCCTCTTTGGGTTCCTCTTCTTTGGGACCCTCTGTGCTTCCTGGACTTGTAAGTCTATTTCTT